CGAAAGGAGGAGGAGGAAAAGATGAGTAAGAAGAAGTACAAAAGAGGAGGAGGAGGAGAAGGGGGAGGAGTAGGAGTAGGAGGAGGAGCTCTCTCTCTCTCCAAGAACCTGAGGAATAAGGAGAACAAGTTGAAGAAGGAAGAACAACAAGAACAACAACAAGAACAAGAAAGAAGAAGACCAAGAAGAAGAAGAAAGAAGGAGAACAAGAAGAACAAGAGAAAGAAAAAAAAAGAACAGGAGAAGACGAAGAAGAAGAAGGACTAATGCTATTCTAAGAGGATTGAACGAGTGGTTTTGGGAAAACACCGAATTCTTTGAACGCTTTGAATTTGGGAAGCATTTTCACGTTAGGGGTTTTTAGCATTTTCAAGTTTTTTGCTTTGTTTTCTTTTGCCTGATTTTGTTTTTATAAATGTTTGTACTATGAGCTTGCATTGTTTGTTTCCAAAATCTTCCGCCATGTTGCTTGTGGCGATGCGCCGGAAAACACCGAATTTTCGGCCTTCCGTTAACCCTCTCTCTGGTTTCAACACGCATAGAACAAACGCCGTATCATGTGGTATTTTTCCACTACTTTACGTCACTCTCTGGCCAAAATGTACGCAGCAAAATTCAAACTTGGAACTACAGCTCAAGTATTCAAGATCGTGAGAAGGGATATGGGTAACGTTTATATGCGAAACCAAGACAAAGATTTATTGCACAACATATGAAATACCCATTCTTTGTTACCGTAAGTTGTTCACCTTTTAACCCCAAACAGTTCTTGTCAGGGTCATGTAACATCTCTGCTAAAAGTTGGATATCTTGAAGATTATTTTTAATCAGAACTAATTTTCACTTTATCTTATTAAAATTCAAACAATGTATTCTCAAACTGTTCTGTACCGAAGAAAAGTGTTCCTCCAATCTCCAGCTGACATTCTTGTTGGCTCCCATCCGGCAACTCTCTATATACCGGATCAAGAAGTCGAAATGGATCAATTCCTATATCAGGCGTCATAGGCCCTAGAGATCCTGGGTGACTAAACAACAACTTAACACCGTTAAAGCGTATAGGTAATACAAGCGAGATCCAACTGGTTTGTTTGATGTACCTATTGGAAGTCAAATGATCCATAGTACCTGCCTAACCCGAAAGGGACCCAGCAATAGGAAAGCACTGACAATCTCATCAGTAATCGGGAAAGGGTCCATGCATCTACACAACGCAGATTTCATTCTACGACATAGAGACAATTCCCGCCTAGGGGCAACTTAATATTGGATATTTCTACCAAGAAAATTTGGGACCGCCTTCAACTTTTTTGTCCGTGTGTCGGTACGAAGTGTGGCGTCAGATTTTCCATGGTACATGAAAATGGAACAAGGTAGCCATAGGGGAACCTGCGGCTGATTTAAAGTCAATCTAATCAGACTAGTTACCAAAGGCGCGAAGCACAATTCCGGGTATCCTTTAATCTATATCCGCTATTTACATATTGAATTGATTGACTCAGGCTCTTCTGGGTGAACGTAGGCATTTTATTTTGTACTTTTCTGTTGTTTTTTTTCTTGATTGTTCCCCAATTTTTTTGACCACGATATTCAATTTTTCTAGACTCATTTTCGGACTTAAGTTTTCGAAATCGTGGTTTTACATACCACAATCTTCTAATATTGTAGTTATATGCTATATATGGTAAACTAGCCAGGCACCCGGACCAGACAATACCACACGTGTTTGTAAGTTACAAA